TGCAGTGAGACACTGTAGCACTGGAGTGAGACACTGTAGCACTGCAGTGAGACACTGTAGCACAGTAGTGAGACACTGTAGCACTGCAGTGAGACACTGTAGCACTGCAGTGAGACACTGTAGCACTGCAGTGAGACACTGTAGCACTGCAGTGAGACACTGTAGCACTGTAGTGAGACACTGTAGCACTGTAGTGAGACACTGTAGCACAGTAGTGAGACACAGTAGCACTGCAGTGAGACACTGTAGCACTGCAGTGAGACACTGTAGCACTGTAGTGAGACACTGTAGCACTGCAGTGAGACACTGTAGCACTGTAGTGAGACACTGTAGCACTGTAGTGAGACACTGTAGCACTGCAGTGAGACACTGTAGCACTGTAGTGAGACACTGTAGCACTGCAGTGAGACACTGTAGCACTGTAGTGAGACACTGTAGCACTGCAGTGAGACACTGTAGCACTGTAGTGAGACACTGTAGCACTGTAGTGAGACACTGTAGCACTGCAGTGAGACACTGTAACACTGTAGTGAGACACTGTAGCACTGTAGTGAGGCACTGTAGCACTGTATTGAGACACTGTAGCACTGTAGTGAGACACTGTAGCACTGTAGTGAGACACTGTAGCACTGCAGTGAGACACTGTAGCACTGCAGTGAGACACTGTAGCACTGCAGTGAGACACTGTAGCACTGTAGTGAGACACTGTAGCACTGCAGTGGAAGACACTGTAGCACTGTAGTGAGACACTGTAGCACTGTAGCACTGCAGTGAGACACTGTAGCACTGCAGTGAGACACTGTAGCACTGCAGTGAGACACTGTAGCACTGTAGTGAGACACTGTAGCACTGCAGTGAGACACTGTAGCACTGCAGTGAGACACTGTAGCACTGCAGTGAGACACTGTAGCACTGGAGTGAGACACTGTAGCACTGCAGTGAGACACTGTAGCACAGTAGTGAGACACTGTAGCACTGCAGTGAGACACTGTAGCACTGCAGTGAGACACTGTAGCACTGCAGTGAGACACTGTAGCACTGCAGTGAGACACTGTAGCACTGTAGTGAGACACTGTAGCACTGTAGTGAGACACTGTAGCACAGTAGTGAGACACAGTAGCACTGCAGTGAGACACTGTAGCACTGCAGTGAGACACTGTAGCACTGTAGTGAGACACTGTAGCACTGCAGTGAGACACTGTAGCACTGTAGTGAGACACTGTAGCACTGTAGTGAGACACTGTAGCACTGCAGTGAGACACTGTAGCACTGTAGTGAGACACTGTAGCACTGCAGTGAGACACTGTAGCACTGTAGTGAGACACTGTAGCACTGCAGTGAGACACTGTAGCACTGTAGTGAGACACTGTAGCACTGTAGTGAGACACTGTAGCACTGCAGTGAGACACTGTAACACTGTAGTGAGACACTGTAGCACTGTAGTGAGGCACTGTAGCACTGTATTGAGACACTGTAGCACTGTAGTGAGACACTGTAGCACTGTAGTGAGACACTGTAGCACTGCAGTGAGACACTGTAGCACTGCAGTGAGACACTGTAGCACTGCAGTGAGACACTGTAGCACTGTAGTGAGACACTGTAGCACTGCAGTGAGACACTGTAGCACTGTAGTGAGACACTGTAGCACTGTAGTGAGACACTGTAGCACTGTAGTGAGACAGGAGAGGGAAAATGATAAAAAGTGAGAGGTAACAACAGGTGATAACCATAACTAACAAGATAGTGTGATCTTAGGGTAGACATTACAACCAACATATCACCAATGCTTTACTTAAGATAATCTTTTATGGCCACACAGCTAATCTCTCTCTCTCTCTCTCTCTCTCTCTCTCTCTAATATAACAATACTAAACTAGGGATCTTCTAGGAAGGTTAGAAACTCAATATACCAAGTTAACACAGAGTTACAAAATTTGTTAGCACACAAGTTAGTAACTTAGTTAACACACTAGTAACTTAGTTAACACTAAGTTACTAGTGTCTTAACTAAGTTACTAACTTGTGTGTTAATAACTTAGCTAACACACAAGTTAGTAACTTAATTAACACACAGGTTAGTAACTTAGTTAACACACAAAATAGAGCATAACACCAACGTCAAAGACCTGGGAGTGATCATGTCGGAGGATCTCCCCTTCAAGGACCATAACATTGTATCAATCGCATCTGCTAGAAAAATGACAGGATGGATAATGAGAACCTTCAAAACTAGGGATGCCAAGCCCATGATGACACTCTTCAGGTCACTTGTTCTATCTAGGCTGGAATATTGCTGCACACTAACAGCACCTTTCAAGGCAGGTGAAATTGCTGACCTAGAAAATGTACAGAGAACCTTCACGGCGCGCATAACGGAGATAAAACACCTCAATTACTGGGAGTGCTTGAGGTTCCTAAACCTGTATTCCCTGGAACGCAGGAGGGAGAGATACATGATTATATACACCTGGAAAATCCTAGAGGGACTAGTACCGAACTTGCACACGAAAATCACTCACTACGAAAGCAAAAGACTTGGCAGACGATGCAACATCCCCCCAATGAAAAGCAGGGGTGTCACTAGCACGTTAAGAGACCATACAATAAGTGTCAGGGGCCTGAGACTGTTCAACTGCCTCCCAGCATACATAAGGGGGATTGCCAACAGACCCCTAGCAGTCTTCAAGCTGGCACTGGACAAGCACCTAAAGTCGGTTCCTGACCAGCCGGGCTGTGGCTCGTACGTTGCTTTGCGTGCAGCCAGCAGCAACAGCCTGGTTGATCAGGCTCTGATCCACCAGGAGGCCTGGTCCCAGACCGGGCTGCGGGGGCGATGACCCCAGAACTCTCTCCAGGTAAACTCTAGGTAAACAAGGTAATAACTTGGTTAACACACAAGTTAGTAACTTAGTTAACACACAAGTTAGTAACTTAGTTAACACACAAGTTAGTAACTTAGTTAACACACAAGTTAGTAACTTAGTTAACACACTAGTAACTTAGTTAACACACAAGTTTGTAACTTAGTTAACACACTAGTTAATAACGTAGTTAACACACAAGTTAGTAACTTAGTTAACACACAAGTTAGTAACTTAGTTAAACACAAGTTAGTAACTTAGTTAACACTAAGTTGACTTACATGAGACAAGATAATGTTGAAGAAATATCAGTATACAAGTGTAAACTGGTGTACATCAGTGTACACAAGTGCATACTGGTGTATATCAGTGTATACTGGTGTATACAAGTGTATACTGGGGTATATAAGTGTATACTGGGGTATATAAGTGTATACTACTGTATATACGTGTATATTGGTGTGTATCAGTGTATACTGGTGTATATCAGTGTATACTGGGGTATACTAGTGTATGCCAGCATATAACAGCATGTAGAAGTACAGTATACATCAGTATAGAGCAGTATACATCAGTATAGAGCAGTAGGTATAAGTATACATCAACACGCACAATACATCAGTATACAGCAGTGTATATCAGTGTAATGCAGTGTACAGCAGTGAAGGGCGGTGTAGATCAGTGAAGAGAAGTGAAGTTCAGTGTAGAGCAGTGAAGATCAGTGTAAATCAGTGTAGAGCAGTGAAGATCAGTGTAGAGCACTGAATTTCAGTGTAAATCAGTGTAGAGCACTGAAGATCAGTGTAGAGCAGTGAAAACCAGTGTAGAGCAGTGAAAACCAGTGTAGAGCAGTGAAAATCAGTGTAGAGCAGAGAAGATCAGTGTAGAACAGTGAAGATCAGTGCAGAGCACTGAATATCAGTGTAAATCAGTGAAGATCAGTGTAGAACAGTGAAAATCAGCGTAGAGCAGTGAAAATCAGTGTAGAGCAGTGAAGATCAGTGTAAATAAGTGTAGAGCAGTGAAGATCAGTGTAAATCAGTGTAGAGCAGTGAAGATCAGTGTAGAGCAGTGAAGATCGGTGTAAATCAGTGTAGAGCAGTGAAGATCAGTGTAAATCAGTGTAGAGCAGTGAAGATCAGTGTAGAGCAGTGAAGATCAGTGTAAATCAGTGTAGAGCAGTGAAGAGCAGTGTAGAGCAGTGTAGATCAGTGTAAATCAGTGTAGAGCAGTGAAGATCAGTGTAAATCAGTGTAGAGCAGTGAAGATCAGTGTAGAGAAGTGAAGATCAGTGTAAATCAGTGTAGAGCAGTGAAGAGCAGTGTAGAGCAGTGTAGATCAGTGAAGAGCAGTGAAGATCAGTGTAGATCAGTGTAGAGCAGTGAAGATCAGTGTAAATCAGTGCAGAGCAGTGAAGAGCAGTGTAAATAAGTGTAGAGCAGTGAAGATCAGTGTAAATCAAAGTAGAGCAGCGAAGAGCAGTGTAAATCAGTGTAGAGCAGTGAAGATCAGTGTAAATCAGTGTAGATCAGTGAAGAGCAGTGAAGATCAGTGTAGATCACTGTAGATCAGTGAAGAGCAGTGAAGATCAGTGTAGATCAGTGAAGAGCAGTGATCAGTGTAGATCAGTGAAGAGCAGTGTAGATCAGTGTAGATAAGTGAAGAGCAGTGAAGATCAGTGTAGATCAGTGTAGATCAGTGTAGATCAGTGTAGATCAGTGTAGATCAGTGAAGAGCAGTGTAGATCAGTGTAGATCAGTGAAGAGCAGTGTAGATCAGTGCAGATCAGTGAAGAGCAGTGTAGATCAGTGTAGATCAGTGAAGAGCAGTGAAGATCAGTGTAGATCAGTGTAGATCAGTGTAGATCAGTGAAGAGCAGTGTAGATCAGTGTAGATCAGTGTAGATCAGTGTAGATCAGTGAAGAGCAGTGTAGATCAGTGAAGAGCAGTGTAGATCAGTGTAGATCAGTGAAGAGCAGTGTAGATCAGTGAAGAGCAGTGTAGATCAGTGTAGATCAGTGTAGATCAGTGAAGAGCAGTGTAGATCAGTGTAGATCAGTGAAGAGCAGTGTAGATCAGTGAAGAGCAGTGTAGATCAGTGTAGATCAGTGTAGATCAGTGAAGAGCAGTGTAGATCAGTGTAGATCAGTGAAGAGCAGTGTAGATCAGTGTAGATCAGTGTAGATCAGTGAAGAGCAGTGTAGATCAGTGAAGAGCAGTGTAGATCAGTGTAGATCAGTGAAGATCAGTGTAGATCAGTGAAGATCAGTGTAGATCAGTGAAGAGCAGTGTAGATCAGTGTAGATCAGTGAAGAACAGTGTAGATCAGTGAAGAGCAGTGTAGATCAGTGTATATCAGTGAAGAGCAGTGTAGATCAGTGTAGATCAGTGAAGAGCAGTGAAGAGCAGTGTAGATCAGTGAAGAGCAGGGTAGATCAGTGTAGATCAGTGTATATCAGTGAAGAGCAGTGTAGATCAGTGTAGATCAGTGAAGAGCAGTGTAGATCAGTGTAGATCAGTGAAGAGCAGTGCAGATCAGTGTAGATCAGTGTAGATCAGTGAAGAGCAGTGAAGATCAGTGTAGATCAGTGTAGATCAGTGAAGAGCAGTGTAGATCAGTGTAGATCAGTGTAGATCAGTGAAGAGCAGTGAAGATCAGTGTAGATCAGCGTAGATCAGTGAAGAGCAGTGTAGGTCAGTGAAGAGCAGTGTAGATCAGTGTAGATCAGTGTAGATCAGTGAAGAGCAGTGTAGATCAGTGTAGATCAGTGAAGAGCAGTGTAGATCAGTGTATATCAGTGAAGAGCAGTGTAGATCAGTGCAGATCAGTGAAGAGCAGTGTAGATCAGAGAAGAGCAGTGAAGATCAGTGTAGATCAGTGAAGAGCAGTGAAGATCAGTGTAGATCAGTGAAGAGCAGTGTAGATCAGTGAAGAGCAGTGAAGATCAGTGAAGATCAGTGTAGATCAGTGAAGAGCAGTGTAGATCAGTGTAGATCAGTGTAGATCAGTGAAGAGCAGTGAAGATCAGTGTAGATCAGTGTATATCAGTGTAGATCAGTGTAGATCAGTTAAGATCAGTGTAGATCAATGAAGATCAGTGAAGATCAGTGTAGATCAGTGAAGAGCAGTGTAGATCAGTGTAGATCAGTGTGGATCAGTGTAGATCAGTAAAGAGCAGTGTAGATCAGTGCAGATCAGTGAAGAGCAGTGTAGATCAGTATAGATCAGTGAAGAGCAGTGTAGATCAGTGTAGATCAGTGTAAATCAGTGAAGAGCAGTGTAGATCAGTGTAGATCAGTGTAGATCAGTGAAGAGCAGTGTAGATCAGTGCAGATCAGTGAAGAGCAGTGTAGATCAGTGTAGATCAGTGAAGAGCAGTGTAGATCTGTGTAGATCAGTGTAGATCAGTGAAGAGCAGTGTAGATCAGTGTAGATCAGTGAAGAGCAGTGTAGATCAGTGAAGAGCAGGGAAGATCAGTGTAGATCAGTGAAGATCAGTGTAGATCAGTGTAGATCAGTGTAGATCAGTGTAGATCAGTGAAGAGCAGGGAAGATCAGTGAAGAGCAGTGTAGATCAGTGTAGATCAGTGAAGATCAGTGTAGATCAGTGAAGAGCAGGGAAGATCAGTGTAGATCAGTGTAGATCAGTGAAAAGCAGGGAAGATCAGTGTAGATCAGTGAAGAGCAGTGTAGATCAGTGTAGATCAGTGAAGAGCAGGGAAGATCAGTGAAGAGCAGTGTAGATCAGTGTAGATCAGTGAAGAGCAGTGTAGATCAGTGTAGATCAGTGTAGATCAGTGAAGATCAGTGTAGATCAGTGAAGAGCAGGGAAGATCAGTGTAGATCAGTGTAGATCAGTGAAAAGCAGGGAAGATCAGTGTAGATCAGTGAAGAGCAGTGTAGATCAGTGTAGATCAGTGAAGAGCAGTGTAGATCAGTGTAGATCAGTGAAGAACAGGGAAGATCAGTGTAGATCAGTGTAGATCAGTGAAGAGCAGGGAAGATCAGTGTAGATCAGTGAAGAGCAGTGAAGATCAGTGTAGATCAGTGAAGAGCAGTGAAGATCAGTGTAGATCAGTGTAGATCAGTGAAGAGCAGTGTAGATCAGTGAAGAGCAGGGAAGATCAGTGTAGATCAGTGAAGATCAGTGTAGATCAGTGAAGAGCAGTGAAGATCAGTGTAGATCAGTGAAGAGCAGTGAAGATCAGTGTAGATCAGTAGATCAGTGAAGAACAGGGAAGATCAGTGTAGATCAGTGTAGATCAGTGAAGATCAGTGAAGATCAGTGTAGATCAGTGAAGAACAGTGATGATCAGTGTAGATCAGTGTAGATCAGTGTAGATCAGTGAAGAACAGGGAAGATCAGTGTAGATCAGTGAAGATCAGTGAAGATCAGTGTAGATCAGTGAAGAGCAGTGAAGATCAGTGTAGATCAGTGAAGAGCAGGGAAGATCAGTGTAGATCAGTGAAGATCAGTGTAGATCAGTGAAGATCAGTGTAGATCAGTGAAGAGCAGGGAAGATCAGTGTAGATCAGTGAAGATCAGTGTAGATCAGTGAAGATCAGTGTAGATCAGTGAAGAGCAGGGAAGATCAGTGTAGATCAGTGTAAAGTAGAGCATCAGGAACTAGCAGTCACAACAACCACAACACTGAAAGAAAATGAAATATATACTGTCAGTTTTAATGTGTCAGTGTTACTGTGTCAGTGTTACTGTGTCAGTGTTACTGTGTCAGTGTTAATGTGTCAGTGTTACTGTGTAAGTGTTACAGTGTCAGTGTTACAGTGTCAGTGTTACTGTGTCAGTGTTACAGTGTCAGTGTTACTGTGTCAGTGTTACTGTGTCAGTGTTACTGTGTCAGTGTTACTGTGTCAGTGTTACTGTGTCAGTGTTACTGTGTCAGTGTTAGTGTGTCAGTGTTACTGTGTCAGTGGTACTGTGTCAGTGTTACTGTGTCATTGTTACTGTCAGTTTTATTGTGTCAGTGTTACTGTCAGTTTTATTGTGTCAGTGTTACTGTCAGTTTTATTGTGTCAGTGTTACTGTCAGTTTTATTGTGTCAGTGTTACTGTCAGTTTTATTGTGTCAGTGTTACTGTCAGTTTTATTGCGTCAGTGTTACTGTCAGTGTTACTGTCAGTTTTATTGTGTCAGTGTTACTGTCAGTTTTATTGTGTCAGTGTTACTGTCAGTTTTATTGTGTCAGTGTTACTGTCAGTTTTATTGTGTCAGTGTTACTGTCAGTTTTAATGTGTCAGTGTTACTGTCAGTTTTGTGTCAGTGTTACTGTCAGTTTTATTGTGTCAGTGTTACTGTCAGTTTTATTGTGTCAGTGTTACTGTCAGTTTTATTGTGTCAGTGTTACTGTCAGTTTTATTGTGTCAGTGTTACTGTCAGTTTTGTGTCAGTGTTACTGTCAGTTTTATTGTGTCAGTGTTACTGTCAGTTTTGTTGTGTCAGTGTTACTGTCAGTTTTATTGTGTCAGTGTTACTGTCAGTGTTACTGTCAGTTTTAATGTGTCAGTGTTACTGTCAGTTTTATTGTGTCAGTGTTACTGTCAGTGTTACTTTGTCAGTGTTACTGTCAGTTTTAATGTGTCAGTGTAACTGTCAGTTTTATTGTGTCAGTGTTACTGTCAGTGTTACTGTGTCAGTGTTACTGTCAGTGTTACTGTCAGTGGTACTGTCAGTTTTATTGTGTCAATGTTACTGTCAGTTTTATTGTGTCAGTGTTACTGTCAGTGTTACTGTCAGTTTTATTGTGTCAGTGTTACTGTCAGTTTTATTGTGTCAGTGTTACTGTCAGTGTTACTGTCAGTTTTAATGTGTCAGTGTTACTGTCAGTTTTATTGTGTCAGTGTTACTGTCAGTTTTATTGTGTCAGTGTTACTGTCAGTTTTATTGTGTCAGTGTTACTGTCAGTTTTATTGTGTCAGTGTTACTGTCAGTTTTATTGTGTCAGTGTTACTGTCAGTGTTACTGTCAGTTTTATTGTGTCAGTGTTACTGTCAGTTTTATTGTGTCAGTGTTACTGTCAGTTTTATTGTGTCAGTGTTACTGTCAATTTTATTGTGTCAGTGTTACTGTCAGTGTTACTGTCAGTTTTATTGTGTCAGTGTTACTGTCAGTTTTAATGTGTCAGTGTTACTGTCAGTTTTATTGTGTCAGTGTTTCTGTCAGTTTTAATGTGTCAGTGTTACTGTCAGTTTTATTATGTCAGTGTTACTGTCAGTTTTATTGTGTCAGTGTTACTGTCAGTGTTACTGTCAGTTTTATTGTGTCAGTGTTACTGTCAGTTTTAATGTGTCAGTTTTTTACTGTCAGTTTTATTGTGTCAGTGTTACTGTCAGTGTTACTGTCAGTTTTATTGTGTCAGTGTTACTGTCAGTGTTACTGTCAGTTTTAATGTGTCAGTGTTACTGTCAGTTTTATTGTGTCAGTGTTACTGTCAGTTTTATTGTGTCAGTGTTACTGTCAGTTTTAATGTGTCAGTGTTACTGTCAGTTTTATTGTGTCAGTGTTACTGTCAGTTTTAATGTCAGTGTTACTGTCAGTTTTATTGTGTCAGTGTTACTGTCAGTTTTAATGTGTCAATGTTACTGTCAGTTTTAATGTGTCAGTGTTACTGTCAGTTTTAATGTGTCAGTGTTACTGTCAGTTTTAATGTGTCAATGTTACTGTCAGTTTTATTGTGTCAGTGTTACTGTCAGTTTTAATGTCAGTGTTACTGTCAGTTTTAATGTGTCAGTGTTACTGTCAGTTTTATTGTGTCAGTGTTACTGTCAGTTTTATTGTGTCAGTGTTACTGTCAGTTTTATTGTGTCAGTGTTACTGTCAGTTTTATTGTGTCAGTGTTACTGTCAGTTTTAATGTGTCAGTGTTACTGTCAGTTTTATTGTGTCAGTGTTACTGTCAGTTTTAATGTGTCAGTGTTACTGTCAGTGTTACTGTCAGTTTTAATGTGTCAGTGTTACTGTCAGTTTTATTGTGTCAGTGTTACTGTCAGTGTTACTGTCAGTTTTATTGTGTCAGTGTTACTGTCAGTGTTACTGTCAGTTTTAATGTGTCAGTGTTACTGTCAGTTTTATTGTGTCAGTGTTACTGTCAGTTTTATTGTGTCAGTGTTACTGTCAGTTTTAATGTGTCAGTGTTACTGTCAGTTTTATTGTGTCAGTGTTACTGTCAGTTTTAATGTCAGTGTTACTGTCAGTGTTACTGTCAGTTTTATTGTGTCAGTGTTACTGTCAGTTTTATTGTGTCAAGTGTTCCTGTCAGTTTTATTGTGTCAGTGTTACTGTCAGTTTTAATGTGTCAGTGTTACTGTCAGTTTTATTGTGTCAGTGTTACTGTCAGTTTTAATGTGTCAGTGTTACTGTCAGTTTTATTGTGTCAGTGTTACTGTCAGTTTTATTGTGTCAGTGTTACTGTCAGTTTTATTGTGTCAGTGTTACTGTCAGTTTTATTGTGTCAGTGTTACTGTCAGTTTTATTGTGTCAGTGTTACTGTCAGTGTTAGTGTCAGTTTTATTGTGTCAGTGTTACTGTCAGTTTTATTGTGTCAGTGTTACTGTCAGTTTTAATGTGTCAGTGTTACTGTCAGTTTTATTGTGTCAGTGTTACTGTCTGTTTTATTGTGTCAGTGTTACTGTCAGTTTTATTGTGTCAGTTTTTACTGTCAGTTTTATTGTGTCAGTGTTACTGTCAGTTTTATTGTGTCAGTGTTACTGTCAGTTTTATTGTGTCAGTGTTACTGTCAGTTTTATTGTGTCAGTGTTACTGTCAGTTTTATTGTGTCAGTGTTACTGTCAGATTTAATGTGTCAGTGTTACTGTCAGTTTTATTGTGTCAGTGTTACTGTCAGTTTTATTGTGTCAGTGTTACTGTCAGATTTAATGTGTCAGTGTTACAGCATCAGTTGTACTGCATCAGTGTTACTGTGTCAGTTTTACTGTGTCAGTGTTACTGTGTCAGTGTTACAGTGTCAGTGTTACAGCATCAGTTGTACTGCATCAGTGTTACTGTGTCAGTGTTACTGTGTCAGTGTTACTGTGTCAGTGTTACAGTGTCAGTGTTACAGTGTCAGTGTTACTGTGTCAGTGTTACTGTGTCAGTGTTACTGTACTGCATCAGTGTTACTGTGTCAGTGTTACTGTGTCAGTGTTACAGTGTCAGTGTTACAATGTCAGTGTTACAGTGTCAGTGTTACTGTGTCAGTGTTACTGTGTCAGTGTTACAGTGTCAGTGTTACAGTGTCAGTGTTACTGTGTCAGTGTTACTGTGTCAGTGTTACTGTACTGCATCAGTGTTACTGTGTCAGTGTTACTGTGTCAGTGTTACAGTGTCAGTGTTACAGTGTCAGTGTTACAGTGTCAGTGTTACTGTGTCAGTGTTACTGTGTCAGTGTTACTGTACTGCATCAGTGTTACTGTGTCAGTGTTACTGTGTCAGTGTTAGTGTCAGTGTTACTGTGTCAGTGTTACTGTGTCAGTGTTACAGTGTCAGTGTTACTGTATTGCATCAGTGTTACTGTGTCAGTGTTACTGTGTCAGTGTTACAGTGTCAGTGTTACAGTGTCAGTGTTACAGTGTCAGTGTTACTGTGTCAGTGTTACTGTACTGCATCAGTGTTACTGTGTCAGTGTTACAGTGTCAGTGTTACTGTGTCAGTGTTACTGTGTCAGTGTTACAGTGTCAGTGTTACTGTGTCAGTGTTACTGTGTCAGTGTTACAGTGTCAGTGTTACTGTGTCAGTGTTACTGTCAGTTTTATTGTGTCAGTGTTACTGTCAGTTTTATTGTGTCAGTGTTACTGTCAGTTTTATTGTGTCAGTGTTACTGTCAGTTTTATTGTGTCAGTGTTACTGTCAGATTTAATGTGTCAGTGTTACTGTCAGTTTTATTGTGTCAGTGTTACTGTCAGATTTAATGTGTCAGTGTTACTGTGTCAGTGTTACTGTGTTAGTGTTACTGTGTCAGTGTTACAGTGTCAGTGTTACTGTGTCAGTGTTGCTGTGTCAGTGTTACTGTACTGCATCAGTGTTACTGTGTCAGTGTTACTGTGTCAGTGTTACAGTGTCAGTGTTACAGTGTCAGTGTTACAGTGTCAGTGTTACTGTGTCAGTGTTACTGTGTCAGTGTTACTGTACTGCATCAGTGTTACTGTGTCAGTGTTACTGTGTCAGTGTTACTGTATCAGTGTTACTGTGTCAGTGTTACTGTGTCAGTGTTACAGTGTCAGTGTTACAGTGTCAGTGTTACAGTGTCAGTGTTACTGTGTCAGTGTTACTGTGTCAGTGTTACTGTGTCAGTGTTACTGTACTCACCTAGATGTGATTGCAGGTGTCGATTCACAGCTCCTGGCTCTGTCTCTTCAATGGTCACAACTAGGTCATTCTTCCTGCTCCATGAGCTTTATCATACCTGTTCTTAAAGCTGTGTATGGATCCTGCCTCCACTACATCACTTTCCAGACTATTCCTCTTCTTGACTACTCTGTGACTGAAGAAATACTTCCAAACATCCCTGTGATTCATCTGAGTCTTCAACTTCCAACTGTGACCCCTTGTTGCTGTGTCCCATCTCTGGAACATCCTGTCTCTGTCCACCTTGTCAATTCCTTTCAGTATTTTATATGTCATTATCATATCCCCCTAT